ATATATATACAGTATATATATATATATATATATATATACATACAGTACTGTAAAAAAAATCTGATAAATTTATGGTAAAAAAAAATAGGCAACTATGGTTGCCAGAATTTTACCGTAAAAAATACGGAAGCAACATTTTAGGTTTTACGGTTTTAACTTAAATTTACATTTAAATACCGTAATTTCATTAACTGATATAATGTTAATATACCAACCTACTGAAGTACTGAAATCTTTTTTGTACCTGAAACACTGATAACCACCAAAAGCAGGTGGTGATGGGGAAAGTCACATGATGAACCAAAGCCCATCACAAGCATTTATATATATTTATTTATTTATATATATATATTTTTTGTTTGTTTATTTTCAAGGTTTATATTATATTTTGAATGCCAGATTTTGAATGTGGTCTCAGAATTTTGGAGCCCAACTGAAGACGACAAAAACATGTTGCTTTATATTTCCAGACACTGCTGGTTATGATGTGAGATTATTGTACAGATAGTGTCACGATTTATTTTGAATATGTTTTAGAAGTATAATAAGAAATGCTCTTCCCAAAAATACACAAGAACCGTATTATTACATGACCTGAAAAACAACAAGTTTGTCAGCAACAAATTTCAGCATGTGCATTTTTGAGACAAAACAACACAAGATGGTCTTAAAAGTCATTTTTCACATTATGATGTTTTTCATGTTTTTTAAACGGATCACATCTGATACTGTATCATCATAATGCTGTGTGCTGCACACGACTGCTATAAATACCATTATAAAATGCTTATCAGAAAATACATTTCTGCCATATTAAAAGACTTGATAAAACAAAACAGGAAAAAAGCTTGGAGTGGCTCTTTGTTGTGTTTAGATGCAAATCTGAAGAGGCTTGTTAGAGATAATTGCTCACTTAATTACCACAGTTATTAGGAGATGAATGCTGTAATAGGTGCCACTTGGGAGCAAAAAAGAAGATAAAGGAAATTTCAAGTCCTAATCAATGAAACCTGCACACGCATGCACGCACTCACTCACACACACACACACACACACACACTACAAGTAATTTCCGTGGAAACTTTGAGGTCACAGCGTCCTGTGTAAACTCTTGAACTTAAACGAAAAGCTATTAGTTCGACAAATTATTCATGTTGCAGTTCCATTTTTTGTTCAAGGTAATGACTTGTGATGAGGAAGGGTTTAGGAACAAGCACAAGGAGAAATAAAGAGCTGGAACAAAAGTAATTGGATGCTAAATTTATCTTCACACAGTATAAGTGAACTGTCTATTTGCCGAGAGTACACTTCAGATTACAGTAATCCCCAAAATATACTGTGAGTGATCACTCCAAATGAAAGCAATAGTTTACCCAAAAATGAAAATTTGCTTAATATTTACTCTCCAAGAAGTAGATGAGTTTGTTTGCTCATCAGAACAGATTTGGAGAAATTCAGCATTGCATCACTTGCTCACCAATGGATCCTCTGCAGTGAATGGGTGCCGTCAGAATGAGAGTCCAAACAGCTGATAAAAACATCACAATAATCCACAAGAAATCCACACCACTCCAGTCCATCAATTAACATCTTGTAAATAATAAACAAATTCAATATTAAGATGTTTTTAACTTCTGGCCAAAATACAAGACCTCCAACAATAATATTGCTTTCTCCAGTGAAAAAGTCATCTAGTCTGAATCGGGAGAGAAATATGCACAGATCAAACACAAGCGAAAACAGTTCTAAAGAAATATGTTGGTGGATTTTGATGTGAGAGGACAACAGGGGGTGCACTTTTTCTGGAAGCAGTGTTATTATGGATCAGACTTTTCTTTTGTCTAGAAACAATGGTTTAGTTAAAACACCTTAATGATGAATTTGTTTCTTACAATCATGCAGCTTTTTGCTTCAGAAGACATAACTTGATGGACTGGAGTGGTGTGGATTTCTTGTGGATTATAGTGATGTTTTTATCAGCTGTTTGGACTCTCATTCTGACGGCACCCATTCACTGCAGAGGATCCATTGGTGAGCAAGTGATGGAATGCTTAATTTCTCCAAATCTGTGAATCAATGAAGAAACTCATCTACCTCTTGGATGGTCTGAGGGCGAGTACATTTTTAGCAAATTTTTGGGTGAATAATTCCTTTAAGCTATACATTATTTATGTACGTAGTAGCTGTTATTGATTTCTAAAAGACTAATACATGCATGTGGTTTGAAGGATGGTAGATTTAACGAATTTGTCAAAATTACACCCATGCACAAAACCCTCCAATACATAAAATCTGTTTTGATGTGCACTTCAAGCTGTCTTGAGTGATGTTCTGTAAGGCAAACCTGCTACAAAACTTATTTTGTGTCAGCTTTGAAAGCTATTATTTGTCCATATGGCAGAAGAAGCTGGCTTCCTTGGGGCTAGAACAGAAATAGCTTGAAAGCCTCTGTGCTTGAGCGGAAATGGTGTGAACAGCAAAAAGAGTAACTGAAAAAAAAAAAATTTGTGTGGAAAAATTACAAAAACAAGTCCATTTTAAATTAAAATCTGGTAAACATTACAATAACACCCTATTGTAAAGTGTTACTATTAATATATTAATATCTCAGATTCTAAAATAATTAGTTATGTTAGATCAACTGTACCTTGAAATCAATGTTTATGCATTAGCCCTGTTGTACAATGACTACAGTATTCACATTATAAAACCAATATCACTCATACGTTTGTAAAGAATAACTGGAAAATGCACAAACAGGTTCTTTTAAGCAATAAACTGCATTTCAATACAGTGCACAGTTTGTGTCAGAATTTTAGGCAGGTGAATGTGAAGAAAGCCTCTTTCAGACAGCACTATACTGTAATGGATTTGGAAGTGCATCATGATCCCCAATATAGGGGCAAAATTGGGAGGTGAAAAGCCTTTGTGAGAACTGATGCATCTATACAGGCACTTAATATTTACCCAGCACCCTCAAGGTTATT